CCCCCCCCCGAAGGTGCAGCTCAAAGATTATCTTAGTGATAAACAGAAAAAGAAATCCAAAGTGCAGAGAAATTGAAATGAATGATAAGCAATCGTGACAACAGATAAAAGTGAATCCAAAATTCTACCTGCAGGTTCCTTAGAGTTTTCTTCAACGATGCAACATCGGCATTTGAGTACTGCTCTTTCAGCATGTCGATCAATTGTCTATAAGTTGCACAGTCATCCTCGAGCAATTTCAACTGCTGATCCATGCCAACCAACAGCTCATCGGAACATTCCTGAAAATTTCGCAATCGCAAAAACTGCACCACACGAGAAGCAACACGTGGAATATTTAGAGAAAAAAATAGAGTTTCAACCGTGATAATCGTATAGGCGACATACCTTGCATATGGGTGCCTGAGAGGGAACTTCAGCATCGCAGATGAGCTCCATAAGATTGCATGACTGTCCTGCCATAAGTGACGTACTTTCGACCTCTGAAGACTGTAAGGGTCATAGATACGAGAAATTGATGTATTTTGATGTTCTAATCATTGTGATCAGTGCTACTGGATCAGAATTTCACTGAAGTTGGCAAATAAGAGTCGATAAATAGAATCGTCCATAGAAGTAAAGGAAAAACTGTCCAACAAAAGAAAGCCACATCAAAATTTGCATATCACGAATTTCACACCATATTCTTGTAAAGTGAAATCTTTACTAGAAGTGTAGAATACAGCAACTGGACTAAAGAAACTCATCAAATAAGAAAGGTAAAATGTTTTCTAGGAGGGTAAAAACAGTGTCAAAGTTATAATAAAGAATCATGCAAGAAAGAGATTGATAATCTTTGCATGTTGAAAAACAGCATATTTGAACTTAATGAAGGTTTCAAACTGCAACCAAATCAATTTGGAAGGTCCATCTACAAAAAAACCACTATCCTAATTACACTAACATGGGAAGGACCCGGAGTTGAAATCGGCTTTCTACATGAATCATATATCAATCGAAAGA